TTTTTCGAAACCACATGGTCCTAAATTTACTCCACACTCAGCATGAAGTTTCAGTGCCATATTTCGTTGTAAGGCTCTTCGGCCATCCCGAATCGACTTAAACTGGGGATGATTTTCTAATTTTGCTTTACCAACAATTATGCTTTCGCGCAACACAAGTTCTCATCTGTTGAAGGTATAGATATTATACTGATTTTCTTAATCCATCAGTATTAACATTAACCAGCTTATGATGGGCACCACTCTAGGATTTCTTATCGTAATTACAATCAATTTTAAAGATGGATCATCTATAGGTATATGGTCTTTGTTCTGAAAAGTTAGCATGCAAATATAAAATAACTCTTAATCTAAAAAATAATAATTTCTTAGATTCTTCAGTGCAAAATAAGGCAATATTAATATTTACTAAAGTAACTAATTAATAAAGAATATAATTATTTAGTTAAGGTAAATTTTTACCTAAAACTTCATAAAACTTGGAGGATAAAATTAATTCAACTGTCAAGTCCTCTGACGGGAACCAAGCATGTTGAAATGGGTCGGTCCAAATAATCGCTGTGCATGCAAATTCTACCAAATAATAATAATAATAATAATAATAATAAACATACTAAAAGAAGATCAAATTTATTTCTCATTGCGATATAAGTAATTGATTTACCTAATTAAATCATCATTATTTAAGTTTTGTGCCGCTTCTTGTATTACTGCGCTTAGTAAAGCTTCCAAAAAAATCATTTCTTCTCTCAACAACCCGTGGTTTAAGGTTTGGAAGTTGTGATGCTTTATCCTAGCTTGGTAAGTGGACCTCTGTAGCATTAAGCGACGATTCGTTTTTCTTCTTCCTTCCGTCAAAATATACGGCAGGTTTAACTAAGGATAAAATTTACATTCAGTATGCATTTTCTGCATCATTTCATTTGTTTTTTTTTTGCAATGGAATTTAGACATACTAGAAGAAAGTTAGTGAGAACAGACTTACTGAAGCATTCCTTGAAGAATCTTCATGCCATATTATTTTCCTGCATTTAGTTATCTTCTACGCAAAATCATTTGAAATATCCTAATTTGAATAAAGTAAGTTTGAAAAAAAGTATCATGTGTCGAAATCTCTATAATATATTTTAAAAAAAAATTAACTACTTGAGAAAAGGTGATAATTACCCTCCAACCCAATCCACTTTGATTAGATAGGGAGCTAATGTATTTTCTAGAAAGAACTGGGTCGATTCACCTAACTAAAAAATAAAAAAAATATCAGCAAGTAGATTATTAGAACTTATTATGAAATCTTTAATAAAATTATTTGAACTAATTTAAGGATATTAACGAAATCATTTCTTACTTTAAAGAGTAAACTTACTATTTCGTCATAGGAAATAAGTGAATCAATCATTTCATCTTCTTTACCATGAAAAATATTAACGCCTGATGGGTCTGCTATATCCATATCAGTCTGCATTTTTTATTAGATTCTTTATTTAGATAACTAAAAAATAAGCACGCAAATGATGAAAAAAGAATTTTGTTAACCGTATAGTTAAACAGTCATCCCAGATTATCAAACGAAATAAATTATCTCCTTTTCGTTAACCTCAAACACATTATATGGTATAAATAAGGTTTCCAAAAAACATTGACTAGATTTTGCTCTAAATTCAAATTATTACGAGGCTATCCAGAAAGTAGATTACGTTTTGGAATAAAAAAATAAACAAAGTATAGGAAACAAATTTTATTATATACAGATGAAAGCCACACTCAAATACTACTTTTCTACATAGTCACCATACAAATTAAGGCATTTATCGTAGCGATGTACGAGCTTGGAAATTCCTTCGTCGAAAATTCGGCCGCCTGCGCCTTCAACCACTTCGTTACCTCTTCTTGCAGCTGTGCGTCGTCATCAAAACGCTGCATAGCCAGCCACTTCTTCATTGCTGGGAATAGGTGGAAGTCGCTCGGTGCCAGGTCGGGACTGTACGGCGGATGAGGAAACAACTCCCACTTAAAAGATTCAAGAACTTTACGAGTGACATTTGCCGTGTGGGGCCGGGCGTTGTCGTGAATCAACAAGATCTTAGAGCTCAACATTCCTCTGCGCTTGTTTTGAATTGCTCTTCTGAGTTTTTGGAGAGTTTGGCAATACCTTTGAGAGTTTATTGTAGTGCCTCTTTCCAGGAAGTCCACCAAAATTACACCTTTTCTGTCCCAAAAAACAGTCGCCATCATCTTCCTTGCCGACATTGTTTGCATGCATTTCTTGGGTTTTTGGGGAGAACTTGTGTGCCCCCACTGCATTGATTGCAATTTCGTTTCACAGTTCACATGTTTCGTCACCAGTAACGATGCGATCGAGTAAAGAGTCACCATCCTTATGGTAAGCGTCCAAAAAGTTCAACGCTGCAGCCATTCGCTGATTTTTGTGGTCCTCTGTCAAGAGTTTTGGAATCCATCTTGCACAAAACTTGTGGTAACCAAGCTTTTCGCTGATGATTTCGTGCAACAAACTTCGCGAAATTTGTGGAAAACTCAAAGAAAGTTCCGTTATTGTGAAATTTCGATTTTCACGGACTTTAGCATCGACTTTTTCGAGAAGTTCGGCGGTCACTATGCTGGGTCTCCCACTTCGATCTTCGTCGTGAACATTGGTTCGGCCATTTTGAAATCTTATGACCCACTGACGCACTCCACCTTCAGTGATAATGTTGTCCCCATACACTTCACGAAGCTGCCGATAGATTTCTATCGGTTTACAGTTTTTTTGCAGTCAGAAACCTTATTACTGAGCGCACCTCGCAGCTCGCGGGATTTTCAATTAACGCAGACATTTCAAACCGTCACAGTATCTGAACGGAGCACAGCACGAACCTCTCACTAGCACGGCTAGATGCAGACTGAGCTGCGCAACGCTCTGACCCCAAGATGGCCGCGCTAGCCCCGCCCCTAGCGGACACAGACGGAAACGTAATCTACTTCCTGGATGGCCATCAAATAGTATTATTCAATAAATTCCTGCTGACGGTTCACTCAACACTTACAATTCATGAATAAAATATCTTTATCCAAACAATGTACATTATCTACCATTTTAATGATCATAAAACTAACCTCATTTTCTAAATCAGACAAACAGTTTTCCATGCCATCAAGAGGATTTTCAATAAATTCCTGAGACGTTTCACTCAAACAACTAAATGCAGAAATATCATTGTATTCACTTAAAACATCATATATGCATTTCTAACTTAATACTTTTTTTTTAAATAAAATATTATTTTAAATTTACCTCGCTATCGCTCAAGTAATCTTCATAATCAATAGAATCTTGATTTTTTTAAAACTGCGCAAAAAAAAGGAATTACTCTCTATTTATTAATTAGGAATTAAATTGATTAATAAATTAAAAATACAAGTGCATAAAAATTCCACTTACTTCATCAAACGATCGTTTAGCCATTATTGGTACGAAATTTCCTACTCAAGCAAAAAAAGTAGTCTCAAAATCTATGAACACGCTGTTGCCAGTCGCTGCTGCATTTATATATGCAAAATATCATGTTGCCATTATTCGATCCTAAAATGATTAACTGGAATTGTTGCCCAATCACCAGCAGTTAGTTTTAAAAACGATATTTTTCAACAAGGACAAACTATCTCTCCAAGCCTCAACTTGGTCGCTTACGATCCTTGACGAAACTATGTCAAAGCAAAATGTCCAAGGTCAGCATGTATTGTTAGCCCTAAGAAAGAATTCTGTCACAAAGAACTTAAAAAATTGCATTATCAGAGCAATACTTGAGTGTGAATGTCATGTTCCTTTTCCACTGCTTTTTTTTCAAAAATGGCGGATTCAGAAAACCATCATGGCGATACACGTAAAAACCTTATGGACATAATTAACAGACATTTTCAACCAAGAGATTGTGGGGTATCGCTTAAGGAATTTTCATGCGGTGCCCCTCAGTCTCTTTTTTTTTTTTATGAATCCTTAAGATAGCGAGTTCGAATCTGAGAAAAAAATTTATTATCCTCTTCATTTTTTTAAGATCATGTTAACTTTTATTAAAAAACATTTTGTACACTAGATGGAGCCAGTAGTAACATATATTTAAGAAATAAATAGACTTTAAAAATACCCCTTTAAACGTAAATGAAAAATAATTCTTCCATTAAAAATAAAATCATGCATGAGTCACTGTACAATACTGAATGCGAGGTAAAAGCAAAATGGCAGACGAAATGAATCATTCAAAATGGCAGACAAAGACCGTGTGATTAAAAAATGGCAGCAGCTAGAAGAATGATAAAACATATTTTTATAATTAAGCAATTACGGTAGTTAATATATTATCAAACCATTAAAATAAATTAATATTCAATCGTTAGATTAAAAATAATTAATATTCATCGTTACATATTCAATCGTTAGATTAAAAATAAGTTAATATTCAATCGTTAGATTAAAAATAAATAAATATCAATCGTTAGATTAAAATAAATAATATTCAATTGTTAGATTTAAAATAATTAAAAGGGATATTTCCCCAAACACGTGGTTCAAGGTAAAATCGTCGCTGCCAGAAAATCAAAACGAAACTTCCCCCCCCCAAATCCTCGTTGCCATCCAAAATACCTAAATCCTAAAAATATCCATGCACTTCTACTTCCACTTTCAAAACAAACACTTCTACTTTCACTTCGAAACAACTCAACTCCACTCAATAAAATGGCGGCACTTTCGGCCACGTGACCTCTGACGTCACTTCCGCCGACGCAGTGGGGCCAATACTACTTTTGAGGGTTCCATATATATATCTGTTTGATGGTTGATAAGGATATCTGCAAGTTCTGGTGATGTGTAATAATTGTCTGTCGTTAGGCAGTAACCTTTTTTCAACAGTGGCTGCATAAGTGTCATCACTACTTGAGAGGACTTGCACAAATGCTGGTAATTATCATCAAAAAGTGTATCTTTCCCAGTGTATATAATAAGTTGATACACATAACCTGACTTCAATTCACATAAAATAAAACTTTTTATGCCGAATCGTGATCTCTTTAGAGGTATATACTGTTTCCAGTGTAATCTTCCCTTGTACAGCATCAAACTCTCATCGATTGTAACATCTCTTTCAGGTGTGATAGTTTCTCGGTAACGAGTATTCAAATGCTTGATGATCGGGCACAGTTTCTGCAGTTTTGGACACTCATGTGTTTTAGCATCAAATTCGGTATCATCAGAAAAATGTAAATACCGGTGAATAAGATAAAAGCGTCGGTAAGACATAATTTTGGAAAAAAATGGAGTTGATGTTGAATGTCTCTTACTCCAGTATTGCTCGACTTCAGGCCTTTTCACAATTCCTTGTAAAATATTCAAAGCAAGAAACACTTGAATTTCGCGCTTTGTTGTTGGTTCCCAATTTTTTGCTCCGCTTTTCCTTCGTAGATTACTACTCCGAATGGTCCGATCTGCATATTTATTGGTTTCAGAAACTATAATTTCAAGAAGATTATCATCAAAGAAAATATCAAGAAATTGTAGAGTTCCATTACTTAGATCAATATTTACATGAACAGCTGGATTTGCTGTGAATGGAAATCGAGGTGGAGGTAAAGGAGGATTTGTTACATCTAGTTCACAAAAGTTTCGAATTTGAGTTAGGTCATCCGAACTTTCCGTTTCCTCATCACTTGAAAAGTCCGAAAACGAACTTTCATTACTTCCAGAATCATTTATAGAAATTTCAGATTCACTGTCTGATCCACTGTAAGAGTTATCATCTGTTATGAGATGCTCAAAATCACTCATTCTTCTACTTTTCAGCTTCAAAAGAAATATATGTAAGCTGTATAGTAAGCAGATTGAATCAAAACCAAATGACAACTTTCCCGCGTAAAAGATAAACTAGAAACCGGATTTGCAATCAGATCTTTCCTGGACTACTAGAGCCATCTGTTAGAAGCATTGCAAACTAATCAAGCATAAAATTCGGGCAAATCATTGCAAGAGAGGAAAAAAATCAGTCGCACGAGCGGCGTTCGGGCAAAACAGGGAAGGCCCCTTTCCAAGTACCCGAACACTCAGGGAAGTGGTTAAAGAAGAAATAAAGAAATTGCAAATTCCCATAATAAAACTAATCAGAATGGTTAGAATGAGAGATGGCATCCCAACTGAACTTCCGATGTACTATATTGAAGCACCGAATAACCCAGCAGGAAAGCGTATATTTGACATTAAATATCTTATGGATATGAAAGTTAGAATTGTACCATACAGAGGTAGGGCCGGACCGACGCAATGCTTTCAGTGTCAGCGGTACGGGCATACGCAAAAAGCATGCCATAACCCCCCAAGATGTGTAAGGTGTTTAGAAATGCACCAATCTTTCGAATGCCCACATAAAGGAAAGAATTTCACACCACAATGTGTCCTGTGTCAAGGCTCACACGCATCATGTGACAAAAATGTCCTGAACATCCTCTCAATAAGCCCGATCCTAAACTGAAAAATATCAAAGAAACCGTTATATATCCTAGTAGCCAATCAAAAGCCAGCGAACCAATCTACAATAGCCAATCCTACGCAGCAGTAATTTCTGGGTCTAAGCAACCGACGAGCCCTCTATTAAAAGCTCCCGTCAAAACAAATAATAACAGCAACGAAGAAAAATCCTTCGAAGAATTCAGCGCCTTTATCAAAACACTACACAATCTCTATGTCAACTATAAGCAATCAAATAGTTTGGATACCAAATTAGATATCGCCTTAAAGGCACTACTGGTTTTTGAATTACATCATGTATAGTACACATCACAGCATTTCCCCAGTTTATCGACACATCAACTACGCCAAATTTGTCTCCTTCAATTGCAACGGCATGAAAAGACAGCTTTTTGAAATCAAAAATTATCTCATCCAGCACAGCGTCGACATACTCCTTCTAAATGAAACTCACCTCAAAGCCACAGATATTATCAAATTACCAAATTATGATGTTTTTCGATCCGACCGACTCCATAACAGAGGCAGAGGCACGCTTATCGCTACGAAAAAATATTTAAACTGCTACCTGGAGAATTTACCACCCCTCCAAAGTATAGAAGCTTGCGGCTGCATCCTGAAAAGCAATAATACTGAACATCTCATAGTCTGTCTACAAACCTCCTTATAACATACTCAGCATTACAGATCTTAACAACATCATTAATCTCGGTTACCCTACAATAATCTCAGGCGACCTTAACTGCAAGCACCCGAACTGGAGCAGCTCCACCACGAATGCTAACGGAATAATCCTCAAAAACTATCTCCTCAATAGCCAGATAGAAATTCACGCACCTAATGAGCCTACCTACATACCCACTAACCTACGAGGAAGACCCGACGTTCTGGACATCATAATTACCAGAAAAATCTCTCAAGCTCCTTTCGCTCATGTTTCCAACGATTTATCATCTGATCACCTGCCGCTTCACTTCACTCTCTATGGATTAAAAGCACGGTCTGCCCCCTGAAGACTAAAATCAACTGGAGTAATTTCAAATATATCATGCAAAATTCTACCAATGCTGCTACCAAACTTATCAATACCACTGAAATTAATGATGCAATACTCCAATTTAATAATCAAATCCACACTGCTATTAATAACTCCAAAATGCACAAAAAAGAAAATTCCATTACCCTTCCTCTCTATATTAGGCAAGAAATCAGAGAAAAGAACACACTTCGGAAAATTGCACAAAGCACCCAACAACCCAACGATACGAGAAATTACAACAGAAGTTACAAATCCCTCAAGAAAATTATGAAAGATTACACAGACCAAGCTTGGAAAAGTTTTGTGCAGAGTCTGTCACATGACGATCACTCGGTTTGGCGCATCGCAAAGCTTTAAGGGGAGTCATCACCATTACACATTCAAAAAATCGAATTTTATTTTATTTATTTATTTATTTATTTATTTTTTGCATTTTTAGGAGTTTTAGACATTTCTGAGTCTGTTAAAACAAACCGCGTTATGATAGCCGAATTAGAACCCTTAAAATTATGAAATAAAAAAATTATTCTGAAGTCAACATTGTCAGATCGGCCATTTAAATTATCACCTGACGTTTGTTTACATTTGTACCCGCAGCTGTTTATGAATGTTCACACTTAGATTGCTTTAATTTTTACTGTTAACTCCACGTTTATTATTTTAAAATGTTCTTCTATGAACAGGATTCGTACAACTCAACTTTTAAAAACGTGCATTCGAGTGTTTGTTTACTATTTACGTGCTGAAACAGTGCTTGTTCTTTGATTTGCTTATCGCGCTATCATTCATTTTACTTGTTTAAAATTGATACAGTTTCTGACATTTTAATTTATAAATATGGATGATAAACAAAACAAGCGAAAGTCTGGATGTAGACCTAAGAAATATAGGTTCCGTGGAAACCAGTTTACTAAAAAGTTCTCTTCTCAAAAACGACTCAGTGCTTCCAGTAAAAAATTAGATAATTCTCCTATTGTAGAATGATACAGATTTTACAGGTTATTTACTTACTGATAAAAGTATTGTTTTCAAAATGATAGAAGACTCTGTATGCAAAATTTGTGGTGGAAAGGTTATCATATCATCAAATATTATAGGCGGACTGTCTAAAAATTAGAATTTCTTGTGATTTTTGCGGTGAACTGTCATTAACACGAAACTCAACAATGCTAGGAAAACAAAAAAAATTGGCAGAAATAAATTCCAGATTTATTTATGCTATGCGTGCTCTGGGTCAAGGACTATCAGGGGCAAAAACATTTTGTGGAATAATGGATTTGTCTCCACCTATTACACTGAAAGCTTATAACTCAGTGAATAAACACATAAAAGATGCTTCTTTTATAGTAGCTAAAAAAAGCATGTCTTCTGCTGTCAAAGAAGAAATTAAATATAATAATTATAATTCGAATTTGACTGTCAGTGGAGATGGTACCTGGAAGACCCGTGGCCATACTTCTTTAGTTGGAGTGTGTACAGTGATAGGAGCATCGTGTGGAAAAGTGATTGATGTTCAAGTTCTTTCGTCATTTTGCAAATGTTGCTGGTTTGGTTTGGTTTGGTTTGTGTAATTATGGCAAAGCCTCGAGGGCTATCTGCCTAAGGGGAGGGATGCCTTCATGGAGGACTTTCTAAGGGAAACTGGCTCGTATACACGTTACACATGGGGAAAACCACGAAAACGCCCATGCAGCCAGCCCGTTCGCGGGATCGAACCTCGGACCGAACTACCAGTGTTCAGAGACTTTACCGCTCGGCCGCTGGTGGGCCTTTGCAAAGGTTGCAATTATTCAAAAGGTGCGAAATCTGGAGAAGAGTATGAAAAGTGGCAGGCAGAACATTCCAGTAAATGTCAAAAAAAACCACAGAGGTTCTGCAGCAATGATGGAGGTTATTGGAATGCAGCGAATTTTTCATCGTTCCAATGTTATACATAATGTGCAGTATACACAGTATATTGGTGATGGTGATGCGAAAACATTCAGTGCTATTCAACAATCAGAACCTTATGGCAGAGATATAGCAATTGGTAAAATTGAATGTGTCGGACACATTCAGAAAAGAATGGGCACTAGATTACGAAAACGAAAGCAAGAAATGAAGGGGAAGAAACTAAGTGATGGTAAGACTCTCAGTGGGAAAAGGTCGCTTTACGGAGGACGCAATAATATAAACCAGTTGACAATTTATTATGGAAATGCTATTAGGAAAACATTTGCAATTCGGTAAAAGATATGCAAAAGGCATGTGTGGGCAATTTTTTATCCACAAACGTTCAACAGACATGGAACCTATTCATAATTTTTGCCCAAACAGGAGAGGATTCATGGTGTACGGATATCAAAGAGCGAGTGCAGTAGTGAAAATCTAAAATCCTATAAACATAAAAATTCAATTCCACCACCTGTAATGGATGCAATCAAAGATATATTTAAAGACCTTAGCATGCCAGCATTGCTAAAAAAGTGCTTAGGAGGACACACACAGAATCCGAATGAATCCCTGAATGCTTTAATTTGGAAATTGTGTCCTAAAAATTCTGGATGTGGTTATAATACTGTTAAAACAGCGGTGAATGAGGCAGTAATTATATACAACGATGGTCAACCTGGGAGATTACAAACTATGAATGCGCTTGGATACAGAATTGGTGATAATGCAATTAAGTTTGCAGCAAACACTGATCAGCGTCGTATTCAATCAGCCGAAATAAAGGCAGAGATGTCTACAATAGATGCTCGCAGAGCAAGGAAAAGAGCCAAACTGGCTGCAGTAATAGTTGCTGAAGAACAGGAAGGAATGGTATATGCAGCTGGACAATTTTTTTAAACGGTTTTAATGTTACTTGAAATAATATATACTGATAATTTTGAAACTTTAAACTTTAAAACCGTTTTTCTCAAAATGGTGATTTTCATACTTGCGCGCACTCTTAAAAAAAATCTATTATAGAAAAGCATTTAAAAAATTTCAGGGTAAGTACATGATGGTATTATTCAAAACTGCACCTATCTTTTTCTTGAAAAATTATTTTTAATTATTTATATAATTTGACTTAATTTTTTTTTATATGCTATTGCTGTTTTTTAAGATTTCATAGTGATTACATTAATTTTCTTTGATATTTTAAAATTTAATTAGGTGAAGAATTATACCTAATGACTTTTCATCACAAAATTGTAAAAATTGTTACTGTAGTTAAATTTGGATTACTGCAAGTTTGCGCGCAGTGCTTTGGTACAGATTTGAAATTTTCAGTAACTATATT